CAGCAGGGGGGCCAGTTGGGGGCAAGCAGGCCATCAGTGGGGGTCAGTTGGAGGTGATCAGGACAGCAGGGGGGCAGTTTGGAGTGAGCAGGCCAGCAGGGGGGTAGTTGGGGTGATCAGGCTGGCAGGGGGGCATTTGGGGGCAAGCAGGCTGGCAGGCAGAGTGGTTAGGGGCAATCAGACAGACAGGCAGGCAGGTGAGCTGTTGGGAGCCAGCAGTCCTGGATTGTGGGAGGGATGTCCAACTGCCGGTTTAGGCCCAATCCCTGTAAACTGGCAGTAGGACATCCTTCAAGGGGTCCCAGATTGGAGAGGGAGGGTGCAGGGCTGAGGAACATCCCCTCCCCCATGCATGAATTTCATGTACCAGGCCACTAATGGTATATATGCAACTTCACTTTTTATAATACTAATGACAACCACACCCAGAAATTCCCAAAACAAGACATATAGCTTTAAAAAACGAGAGGAAACAGAGGAAAGATGTATAGAATACCACCAAACAAAAACAACAGATAGGAGAGATTAAAAATGGTGGCAGAGTAGGTGGATGCTGCACGGACATGCTCCCAGACACAAGCTGGAATTACAACTGAAATATGGAAAGGCTTCCTGAATAATCAACAGAAAACTCACAGGAGAGAACCCTGATACCCAAGGACCAAAGGAGGAGACCACATAGAGACTGGTAGGAGCGGGGGAGGCATGAAAGGGCTGGCTGGGTGCCCACAGATGGCAACTGAAGTCCCAGAGAGATATCTCAGCTGTGTGCGGGGGGGTGCCACTGAGAACTCTGGGATCTAATCCCCAAGCTGGGCTCCCCAACAGAAAGCACCAAACTGAGGAGGGTACCCACATAACATCTAGCTGTGAAAAGCAGTGGGGTGTCTCCAGGGAGTGGCAGCTGAAAGTTTGGAACCCTCTTGAAGGGCCAACACACAAAAATTCCCTGTGGAGCCACCCACCTTTTGCTCTGACAGAGGGAGGGTGAAGTGGACTGGAGCTGTGAGAGCAGAACCCAGGACTTGGGACTCGGAGGTAGAGCTCAGAAGGCGGGCACCCCAAGTTTCTGGGTATGAGTCATTCCCTCACACAGCAGAGGACATCTTTCTCACATAGACATTTGTCTTGCCTGGGGGGAAGACAGTCAACACACCCTATTGGAAAACACCGTGCCCTGAGGCCACTTAAGAGATTAAAAGTAACAATTAGCCTCCAGGCAGAAGAAACTGCCCCAACGTGTTGAAAAAACTCTCACTGAACCTGAGGACAATTGCCTGCGGGCAATTCAATTCAGAATCCTATTAGTCTATAGACCAGTGGTTCTCAACCTTGGCTGCACATTAGAATCACCTGGGAATCTTTTTAAAATCCTGATTTCTGGGCCTCATCTTCTGGAAATTCTGGGGGGTTTTTTGTTATGGGGTGGGGCCATAACATTAGTAACAAAGAAACAGAATTTCCGGAGGATGAGGCCCAGAAATCAGGATTTTAAAAAGATTCCCAGGTGATTCTAATGTGCAGCCAAGGTTGAGAACCACTGGCTTAGAGAGTAAAGGAAGCAGCTGCTGGTGACTAACACTTGGAGTCACTGTTGTAAAGGCTAGGATTGGATGGGGTGGTAAACACACAAGACATACAGATGATGTGTTTGTAGAATTGTATACCTGAAACCTGTATTATTTTATTAACCAATGTCACCCCAATTAAAAAAAAAAAAAAGACTAGGATGGGAGCTCTGGAGGTGGCTCTCACTCCTGGGCCAGCCCCAGTGACTGGTCATTGGAAAGGGAGTGGCTCCTCAACTGCACTCCCCACCCCAGGCAGTGACTGGCTGTGAGGACTGCCTGGCTGCCCTGCTGGACCACGACGCGTTTGTGCTGTGCCGAGACTTCAAGGGCCGCACGCCCATCCACCTGGCCTCTGCCTGTGGCCACACTGCGGTCCTGCGGACCCTGCTGCAGGCTGCCCTTTCCACAGACCCCCTGGATGCCGGCGTGGATTACAGCGGATACTCGCCCATGCACTGGGCCTCCTACACTGGTATGGGCCTGGGGGCTTTGCAGGCTCAGGAGTGTGTACAGAGACGCAGGACAAGGGGGTTGAGGGAGGGACCTGGGTTGATCTGGTTCTGGAGGTAGAATGGAGTGTCAGGAGATGGGAGAGGACAGATGTGGGAACCCTGGTGTTATCTCTGTCCATCACTCCTCTTCCTTCCTCATGCCTAGGACATGAAGATTGTCTGGAGTTGTTACTTGAACACAGCCCATTTCAATACCTGGAAGGAAACCCCTTCACTCCTTTGCACTGTGCAGTGTAAGTCCCTTCCTCTGCCTCAGCTCTTCTCAAGGGTCCCTGACCTGGGCTTTGCACAGGAGTTTGCTTCTCTTGCCCCTCCTGCTAAGCCTTCCTCTTCCCCCAGAATTAATAACCAGGACAGCACCACAGAGATGCTGCTGGGAGCTCTGGGTGCCAAGATTGTGAACAGCCGAGATGCCAAAGGACGGTGAGTGAGTGGCGAAAGGCATGGGGAGAAGCCCCTCTGACCTCCTTTCCTGTCTCACTGTGCCCGGACCCCCACCCGCAGGACCCCTCTTCACGCCGCTGCCTTCGCGGACAACGTCTCTGGGCTCCGGATGCTGCTGCAACATGAGGCTGAGGTGGATGCCACTGACCACACGGGCCGCACCGCGCTCATGACGGCGGCTGAGAACGGGCAGACTGCTGCTGTGGGTGTGTTTCCAGGAGGGAGGCGCTCCCCTGGGGTTTCTGCAAGATGGGTCAGCCCTGCCTGTGGGGTTCAGGAAGCAGGAGGCATGTCTTGGGTGTTTCACCCTCTGCAGATGTGATGCACAATATATGCAGATAGGAGGGTGGAGAGCCGGGATGGCTGCTGCTCTGGGGGAGGCGTCAGTCCCGCTCGGTCCCCTTTCTCTTGTAGAATTTCTGCTGTATCGAGGGAAGGCAGACCTAACTGTGCTGGATGAGAACAAGAACACTGCCCTCCACTTGGCTTGTAGCAAGGTACTGCCTGGAGGGTGGTGGTGAGGCTGCATAGGGCAGGGCATGTGAAGGGGCTGGGTGGCTTGATGGGGCAGAGGACCGGCGTGGAAGTCAGGATCAGCTAGCCTGTCAGACGGTGGGGTAGCTCTTTGTCCCACTGCCACACTCCCCTTCTCCTCCTCTGTGGCCTGTCATGCTTCCACTTCACAGTCTGCACTCTGTTCCTCTCCCTCAGGGCCATGAGAAATGTGCCCTCATGATCCTGGCAGAAACCCAAGACCTTGGCCTTATCAATGCTACCAACAGTGCGCTGCAGATGTGAGTGCTGGGGAAGGGGCTCCTG